GATCTTTATCTATTAACTAATATGAAAGTAAATGAAAGTCGTATAATTAGTTTATCTCTCTATCTCCTAAAATCGGTAGTCCCTCCGATTAAAAATCACCTTGAAATATTGTTTATTTTTTTATCCCATCAATTTTGATACCGTTTGACGAGCCTTGACGTTTTACATGTTTTACACTACACAAATTTTCTGAAATATCGAAATTTTTTTCGATTTCTGATTTTTGAAATTTTATTATTTATTACAAAATAACTTTAGCAAAAAAGACATGAAATTTTCAGCTTAATTTTTTTGTGTTAGTGTCTTTTATTCTTAAACTTAAAAAAACACATTAATTGTTAAAATTTTAATCTAAATAAATCTACTTGCAGTTTATCGAAAAATTATATTACTCTTCAATTTCATCCAAAAATCACGATGCACAGTCTTTATAATTAATGTATTATTAAGTGAATTATTTAAAAGACAAAATAAGAGATGATTTCTGATATTTTTAGATAGGTTAATTATTGTTCATTAAATTTTAAACATTAAAATTGGTGTAGACATTTTAATAAAATATTCAAAAATAGTTCGCAATAGTAAATAACTTTTAAAAGATTTGCGTCATTTATAACTTTAAAGTTTATCAGACCATATAATCTTGAATATATTTAATAGAATAATAATACTAATATATTCTAGTTTTTGGTTTACATTTGTTAAGCAACCGGATAAACGATAAACGAAATTGAAATTATGTTTATGTTGAGAAAAAAGAGCATAATTATAAATTTCCTAAACAAAAAAAATTATATTATTTTACACATCAGAATTCAGATGAACACATATTGTCAAAAAGGGGTCACTACGGAACAATAGTTCTCACAGGTCACAGAGCATAATATTACTTTTTATAAAATAATCCAGAATAATATTTCATGCATCTAACATGCATTCATGAAAATGCTTCAAATGTGAAAATGACAATTGTCCATCAAGTTATATAGTATGAAAAACTAACAGTTAAATAAAATGAGCTTATGACAATTTGAATTGTTTTCTAACAGTAAAATAAAAATCAAGTTTTAAAACTTAAAAAATAACCAAACAATATTTAAAAAAACTTAAAAATTTAGTTTTACTTACACAATTTTATATTTTAAAACTAAATTATTATTTTGAAAAAATGTGGAAAAAAGTTATATTGTGTATTTTTGAGTAAAATTAAACTTAGTACATTTCATCGTCATTTTAATAACAAATGAATTCACACATTATAACTATACTTCAGACAAAATTAATTTATGATTATAGTTTTATTCATATTTATGGTTAAAAACTTCCTTTTTGGTTCAGGTTGGTATGTGTACAGAGAATGTATGAAAAACTAAAAAAAATAAGATATGATTAATGTTGATTTTTCAAAATGTTTATAATTTCAAATTTAGTTTAGATTGCCTTACTAAAAAAAATGTATTCAGTTACATAAAAAAAAGTAAAATTTTACATTTATTGCGATTTTTTAAGTACCAGTAAGTCAATTAGTTACATATAAATACACACAATAACTAATTTGTCCATTAATATTTTTGCGCTAATTGACCTTGATAATATAAGGAAATTTGAGGAATTAGGAGAATACAAATTATAAGCATTATTGCCGCCCTTGCGAAATATATGGCGTCACAATTAATAATTAACGAGAACTAAAATGATCATTATGTGTGATTATTTTATTAAAATTATACCTTTAATAATACCTTAAGAATGTTTTTGTTTAATTGTTAACACAGTTTAAATAAAATATAATAATTATATGTTTATAAATATACTTTTATGATACTAAACTAATAAAATTCATATAAATATGAAGTTCATATGCATAAATATTTGTACGAAGCTAGTGACAACATATTATTTTTGATACATTTTCTCTTTCCCATATTAACCACAAAATTAAGTATTTATACAAAAATCTTGAATATCGAAATTTTTATTTATCAATTAACTTATTTCTTATTTTTTTAATGTAAAAAAAACTTATGTATGAAGAAAATGAAATAATCAAAGCCAAGGAAAAAATTGTAAAAAATTTAACAGTAACTGTCAAATCCTGTGAAATAATAAATCTGGCTTTTACAATTTTTCAAAATAATCTTAATAAAATTAATTAAATATCATAAATACAAGGAAAAAATGATTTTTTTCATTGTCAAACTTTTTAAATAAATATAAAATTAAACTTTATTTTTTTATCATACTTTAGATAAAAATGAACAAAATATACACATTATTATTTTGTTGATTTTTACTTGTTTTTAGTCATGTCCAAAAGTTGAAAACAAACAGATTTTATCTTACTCCATAATGTTTACCAAATTATATAAAGTCTTTACTACCGAATTTTATACTATATTTCCACACGTTAAGTAATTACGTGTGAATAATGAAAATGAAATAAATGAAAATCCCCTACTATGAATTACAATGATAACTGTTTGATAATTTTTAATTTTGAAATTTATTTCGCCATAAATATGATAGTAATTTAAAAGAATAAGTGATATTTAAATAAATGTTAGGATAAAATGATATTAAATAACATTTAATATTATATGTATTTTAAACCAACATTATATATTTTCATCTTAATGTACCTTCAATTATATATAGTATAATTTAGAATATTTGAGTAATCTACGCCATTTATTCTACAGCTCAATTATTAAGGTTTGTATTCAAAGGTCATAAAGAAACAGGAAAACTTGTAAATAAAACATTTATTTTGTTCAATAATACAAGAAATATTTTGAAATTTATTACTTTATTTTATATTTATAGAGTATTTTATAAAAATTTAATTGTAATTCAAAATCATAAATTACCAGTACCTCTAGAGGGATTAAAAAATGAGGTGACGAATTGACAATCAAAAAATTTAGATTATTAAATTTATTGTTATAATATTTTATATACAATATTTTTAGGAAAAAAAATAATAATTTTAGCATCGCAGCTTTGTTACAAATATGTAAAAAACAATAATATTTTATGATCTTTGCCAGTTGATAAAGTAAGTTGACATTTTGAATTCTTTAAACTTAACTTGAAGTTACTAAAGCTGTAACATAACAGCGAAATTTAATTTACTATTTTGTAAAGTTAAAAAAAAATACAATCTATATAAAAGGTTTTTGGAAGCACAAACTTTTATTTTTTGAAAATAATAAAAAAAATTTAGTTTTTAGATATTAAGTTTATAAAATTTATAATAATTGCTATTTTTTAACAGAATCATTACAAATTTAGAATATTCAATTAAAAATAAATACTTTTTTTGACAATGTTGTATTAGATATATTTATTTGTTCGTCCAATTGGATCAATAATATAATACTAAAACTTTTTCTATTTTTAAAATGTTTGCGCTGATTTTAAATCTGCATTTAGATTTATTTATCACCTCAAATTTTTGAGATTTTTTCTAAATTAAAAAAAAAACAAATATTTACATATAAAAAAAAATATCCAACAAAATCTAGGTTAAAATAAAATTTAATAACACTTCAGCGGACACAATAATAGGTGAAACTAGGTCTTTGGAATATTTCTGATTATCAATATGTTATAGAATATAACAACAATTGGTTATAACTATACGGAAAACAGTTCTGAATATTTAATTTATAGCATCTATTTAAATACCCAGAGTTTCATAGAAATGATATCTAAGATTTTTATTGAAATGATTTATTCCGATAGTAATATAAAAAAATTATGATAAATATAAGTAAAAATAGCAACTTAAAAAATGGTGATTTTTACACCAAATTAATACTTTTTGTCTAACTTCAGGGACCGTTTACATGCAGAAGACAAACCGTCAGAATATTTTTTCTTTCTTTAACTTATAGTATGTAACATATGCTTTACTTTAACATATATTTAATGATAGGACAATTTCCAGAATATTTTCAAATGTTAAATTAAAAAAGTTCTATATTCGTATGTTATATACAAATTTGTATGTTTCAAGTTTAAACCTTTTTGTATGATAGAAAAATGGTCTAATAAAAAAAAAGTATATTGGATGAAAAAGTTAAACATAAAGGATTTATAAGAAAAATTTGATATTGATCCATACATTTTTCAAAAAGTTATAACAATTTAAAGACGAAAAAATAAAATCGAAAATAAAAAAATTGTAACTCAAAAATAGCATGTTTTTTAACTACGGCAGTAATTTATACAAAAAAAAAAAATAAGTCATCGGGACAAATATTTTTTTGAACTTATAGTACATAATATAAACTTTATTTTATCATGTTTGAAGTTCAGGATAATCTCGACACATTTTCAAAATTTAAGTTGGAATAGTTAAACTTTTGTGCAAAATTGCTACTTTGAATCCCCCTTGTAGTCAGGTGTAGGGTTTGATTCACATAAAATTTATATACTATGCAAGTACTATTAGTATATTTATATACTAGGCATTTATATAAAAAAAACTTGTTTCGATTCGTTCATTTTTCAAAAACTTATGTCAGTTTTAAGAAAAAAAGTTTAATAATGTCAAAACTTACCTTCTTAGCTTCGTATCAAAGAGTAAAATACATTAATTTTAACCAATTCAAGTTAATACTTTAAAATAAATTTTTTTGGTGTTTTATCACACACAATTTTATTGTTTTAAATATATCTTTTGATGAGATATAAAAAAGTTACTTTGGGTAATTTAGTACTCTAAAAATCAATTTAAACAGAAATAATTTTAGTACTAAATCATAAATAAAAACGTATAAATGAAAAAAATGTATAAATAATTATTGTTTGACACATTTTTCGAAGAAATTTAAAATCAAAATAAAATTACATAATAATACTAGCGACCTTGTTTGGCCTTGGTACCGGTCATAAACCGAGTTCACGTTGATGAGGTCCATTTGGTTTTTCAGGACACACCATAGAAGTGGCGAACAATATGTCTGTTGAAACTTTACGATTCTCATCGTTAGCCTATGCGAAACATGATGATTACTCAATATCGTGTGAGTTTTCCGTCACTTTCGCACACTGTATTTTTTGACTCGATCATAGTCTATTTAGAGAACTCACAACGTCTGCCCATCATCAATTCACCGTTAGCAATGAGTCCGAACATTAACCTAGTCATACAGGTATGAAATACAAAACTCCAATTCAATGTTATAATTTGTTATTATTTATGCTGAATTTTAGGTGTTTTTGGTGTGTTTTGCGTCGTTGGTGACGGCTAAAGATGGCGAGCAACAGGTAGCAGAAGCCACTGCATTACCAGTAAAAAAAAATAAGCCCGAACTCTCGTCCACACCACCTAACATGCTCCCAGCAGACGTGTCTATTCTCAAGCAGATCAATAAAGTCAACGATGATGGGTCATATACGTTTGGATATGAGGCATCCGATGGCAGCTTCAAGGTAGAAACCAGAGATGTGGCTGGTAACGTTAAAGGTATGTTTGGATTTGTAGACGAAGCGGGTCAATTGAAACGTGTGTCTTATTCAGCAAATAATAGTTCCGGTTTCCAAACAGCCGGTGAGTCGACTCCAGCGAATAACGAGCCATCATTGACCACTGGTAAGCCATCCTCCATACAGACAATAACGAAAAACAACGATGACATTAAGTCAGAAGGAGTAAAAAAAGTACTAGTTTCAAAAAGACCAATTTCAGAGGAATTTAAAAGAAGAAGAGAGGGAAATGGCCTACGCCGGCATTTACCCCGAAATGAAAATGACTCACCAGATGTATATGGCGTTCAAGATCGTGCCAGTTTACAATCAGCACCTGTTTCGCCAGTTATTTCAGCCCTTATGTCTGAACTTAACCCAGTACGTATTCAATACAGACCACAACCAGAAGTTTATAATAAAGCTGGACAAACAGCACCATTTCAACGAGATAAATATCAGGAACATGACAGAATTGGAAGACTAGCTGAAGACAATACACAAGATGACGAAGACTCTGAAGCGGTAACTGCACCTGCATCGATTCAATCTCCTGTATCTTCCCCTATAAGATATCAACAGATTTCAACACAATATCAACAGCAATATCAGCAACCATATCCCTTACAATATCAACAATCTGCTTATCCTTTAATTAATCCATATTTATTTAACCCCAACCTTTTAACTTCTCTCCGTGATAATCTTATGGAACTTATCTTAACATTTGTTCAAACTCGTGTTTCTCAATTTCCTTTTGGTAATAGTGGTACTTTTGGAGGTCCCTATCAATCATACCCAATGCCATATCAGCAACCTAATTACTACGTTCCTAACTACTATCAGGGTCCTCGTTTGGAATCAAGACCAATTATAGCATCTAATGTTCAATTTGCTACGGAACAAGATGGTTACCATCAATCTCCAAGAGTCACCCAGACGCTTAAAGACGGTTTGATTCGAATGTTATTAACAACTAGTCCAAGGTACTCTGGAAATCCTTCAGAAGCTGAAGAACAAAGTACACCAAGAACAGCATTTAGAAGAACAACACAATCCACCCCCGTTAGAAATATACAAATAATATCAAATGACAACTCGGTAGACAATAGACCAGTTACAACTGAAACATCAGATTAGAACATTAAAAGTGAGTTACTGATGAATTAAGAAAATTTTTTTGATAGAATTTTTGACCCTGTAAATATTATAAAAGTTTATTGTTAAAAGTTATCATTACTGAATTCAATTCAATATATTAAACATTTTTTTTTATTTTTGTTAAAATTAGCATTTTTAATATATTCGAAGGTTTTTACACTCCTATAATATCCATTTGAATTCCTAAACAGGAAGTTATAATAATTTATAACAAAATCTAATTTACATAAATAATATAGCATTGTTTTATGGTATATTAAAATTGTATCATTAATCATGGTTTAAGTATGGTCAGTTTTAATGAGTTATAACAAACAAAAATTTTACAAAATAAGTAATAATTTTTTTCAAGTGAAAAATTAAAACTAATTATTTTATAGATTATTACTTAAAGGCTATAAAATTACAATTTATTGAAATTTTTGTAGTATTTGAATAAATGCGAAATTAAAACTTTGGGGTTGATAGTTAGAACTATTAGCAAACTAAAATGTAACGTAAATTAATTTTTAAAATTAAAAATTGATTAGAAATTTTCTATGTTTTAAAACACAGAATATTATTTATGATAATTTATACATGGTAGAACAAATGTAACTGACAATTCCTATAACTTTTGATATAATTAACATTTTGCTGTAATTGTTAAATAATTTATGCATTTTATACAACGTAAAAATTATGTTTCTTAATAATAATAAAAATAATAAATTATCAAAAATTCAAAATAATCAATTTTAGAATTTTTATTATATAAATAATTAATAGGTTAATAAAAATTTCAGGAAAAATTCTTATTAAATTATAAGCATATCAATATATATACCCTTTATGCATTAAAATTAATCATCTTAAAATTATTATTGATTCATTAAAACTTTTTGTAGAAATTCTAAACACGAATATTTTTTATTAAAAAAATTAATAAATCAATGCTTTTAACATAATCGCAATGCAAAAATTGTTTAAAAAATCTATAGCAAATGATTATTGGGTCATAAGATATAAAAGTTGTCATTTACTTCTGTTTTATTCTATTTAATACACACAAAATATTATATTATATGTCCATATATATTTTTTTAAACTGAAGGAATTTAGAGATACATTTTTGAGATAATTTGTTTTAATACAACTTAAAGTTTAAACTAAAACTTTAATTTTTTTCGGTGCGAAAAAAATTTCCTAAAAAAATTGCTGATGAATTAATACTAATATTAATTCATTAATTAATAATATACAAATTTTATAAAATTATATTTTTCTATTATTTCCTCAATGCTTCTAATAAATACTTCTGGAATCAACAACATTTTCGACCAAATAATTAAGAATCAAAGAAAAGCGAAAGTTCCATAGAATACAGAATACAATAAATCATCTTCTCACGCATTAAAATGTGCCATACACAAATAGAACATTCAAATGTATTCAAAAAATATTAATTCACATGGAGTTGTAATCGGTCACAAGCATTGAAATATTATGAGAAAGTATTTTCTACAGTAACTACAATTGTTCAATAAAACAAATAAACATTTCAAATATAATTATCTTTGATTATTTCTGAAGTGCTAAGTGAAGAGTTAATTTTAGTGATTTTTTCAATAAGCAAAATCAAATTAAAGTTTTAAATATCATCATTTGCAAAATTACATTTTTGAAATACAAAAAACATTACTTACAGATAAATTTGTTTTATTCATAGTATGTATCAAAAAAATTATATTAACCGATATCTTCGATAATCCAATGTGTTCCATTTTTTTATCAGATTTCGGATATAAGCTACAGATTAAAATTTAATTTTGAAGTTTTTAAAATTAAATACATAAAAGTTATTTCACATACTTTATACTCAATCAAAATATAAGTAGTATGACTTCTTTTTTTTTATTATTCACCTTGATTCATATGTTGTCCAGATCATAAGGAGAAGTTGTTTAATATGAGCTTACTAATCACTGTACATATATAATTTATTTCCCTTAATTGTTGAAAAATTGACCTTGATGTTGTATTGCTCATAATATTGAACAAAAATATACAAACCCATATTAATTCTTTAGAGTATACAGAGTGATTAATTTATTCATTAACCATTAACATTAACTTACTAATTTTTACTATATAAACTAATATTAAAATTAGTAAATCTCGGTGGGAAATTAGTTTTATATTGCACTTTTAGATTTATAAAATTTTAATTTTTGAATTATTTAACGTATATATGGTATTATTTTGTCAAATATAGCAAGGGTAATAGTCAAGAAAAAATTATGGAAGTCTCAGAGCTCAATTAACAATCTTAATTTTAAGGTAATAATAAAATATAATTGAACATTTTTATTTAAAAAACCCAACACTATGGAGTCGTATCACAGTGGAGATGTGTCATTATTTGAAGTATAGATGACAAAAAAAAGGCATCAATGCAAATCTGTAAAAAATGTTTAATTTTTAGGAGTAATTATTGGATTATTACAAAAGTCACATCAACTCTTATTTCCTTGATTATATTACAATTACAATTTTTATGATTTATAAGTATGATTTTAAAAAATGTATTTTTTTTAAGGATTTCTCCATTTACAGGAAACATGGAAATTTTTTAAAAATATTGTAGATAATGTCTTCAATTAGGTGATTAACTTTGTGATCTTTTGACCTATTATTAAAAAAAAATTCGTTCTGAGATAGCTGAGAAAAAATAGCAACAATTAAAAAAAAATAGCATTATATTAAAATCAATACCTTCTCAACTTCGCATCGAAGCTAAAAAAAATGTTAATTGTAACTTAAGAACCCAACTAAAAATAATAAAAAGCATATGACTTGTTATAAATAGAACCGGTAGTTTTTACATCAATATTTATTAAGTAAACATATTTGTTTATTTTTTTGATAAGACAATTAAACCATATATCCCCACTAAGCAAAGCTGACCATGGCGATTATTATCTTCTTAACACAATCTATTAAAAAACCATTCACTCGCAAAACTAGTTTCAAGGTGTAAGTGCGCGTTACTCTCGATCAAGTAAAAAATCACGGACCCGTATCGAGTATATTTGTAATACACATATATATATATATATGCCGGGACTAAAAGTACAAAAAACCTATAACATATTAAACAATGGGAACTAATAAACCATATAAACATCATATACCATTTCCTTCAGGTAAGTGGCTGTGAAATATTCTTTTTAATGACGTGAGTAAAATTAAAAAAAAAAGACTAAGTTTTAGGTAGAATACAATTTTTTATGATTTAGTTCAGTCATAGCATAGGATTCTAATTATATTAAATATACAAAAAATGATAAAGTGTTTATTAGTAACGGTTAAAAATAATAAATTTGATAAAGTTTAGCAAATTTTTTTATCACTTAAATTTTAATTTATTTAAAATTGTTTGCACGTTATATACATTCTATAATTGCAAATTTTGTTTTTAAAAAAGTCAAATACTCAGTGTCATAGATATGATTATTTTCTGAGGGGGGAGGAGGGTTATTTCATATTAAATTTTTAACTAATTAATATTTGAAGATGTATTGTTTTATTTAAAATTAATTGATAATATTATTAATAAAATGTAAAAAAATAATGATAAAAAATAATTTTATATCGTACCTCTAAAGTAGAGTAAATTATTCATAAATAAAGTATTTATGAATAATTTTTTTTTTTTGGTTCTGGGGGAGATTAAACCTCCTAAACCCCCCCTGTATCTACGCCACTGCAAATACTGCAATATTTAATTTGTATACTCTTTCCAATTATTTTATAATAATGTTTATTGTTGATTTGAAATTTTACTTAAAATAAAGTATTGTATATTAATAGAATTAATATCCGAGTATATCAAAGAAAAAATTCAAGTACTATTAATATAAATATTATGTGGAAAACTTAAAAAAAAATTATTAACATTAATGAATTTATGAAGTAAACTATAAATTTAATGTTAATAAATGTTATTAGTAATGATGTTTATTTTTAGAATTATCCTATATGATAAATAGTTTAGTTGAAAATAGCAATGCGTGTAAACGTTTTTTAATTTGTACTTCTTCTGGAATGTAACTATTCCTAAAATTTAGAATAGTTATTAATTTAATCATTAAGATGAAAAAATGCTTACGACTTATACTTTCATTTTTTAATCGAGAAATGTAGTTAAAGTAGATAAAATCAAACTAAAAGTAGCATTATACAATTACGAAAATATTGTTCAATTAACATATTTCACGTTTTTTTTTGTTTTTGGGTTAAATGCTCTTTTAATTGAAAGATTACGTTATTTTCATTTTCAAACATTCTTTTTGTTTCCATGATACTACTTAAATTACAAAAATAAAATAACAGAGTTACAGTATTACGAAAAAAGTTTATCACCAATTGTAGTTTTAAAATATTTTACACCGAGTGGAAATACTGCAAAATTAATAATATACATAACTATGTAGAACTTAAGTAATGTTAGATGTTTATATATTTTGGCATTGAGTACGAATTAATTCATTACACATTATTCAAAATTAATATTAATATTAATAAAGTTAATTTAAAATCGCCACATTATTAAAAACTCAGCACAGGGGGGTCGCGGCACAGTGGTGACGTGGCATAGTTGGATCAAGTATAATGATATCTGACAGTGATTAAAATCACTATCAAAAAAAAACGCTTCGATGCAAATCTTTAGATAGTGTTTAATTTTAAAAAATTGGTGGATTATTCCAAAAGCTTCATAAACTGCTAGTTCCTTATTAATATCCTGATTAAGACAAAGTATGTAGAATAAAAAAGAGATTATTAGAAAATAGTATTTCCCATAAAAAAATTATATTGATCAATACACTTTTCAATAAGTTATAGCATTATAATGTTAAAAATGTAAAAAATAAAATTGAGAATTTTCACACAATAATAGCATTTGGTAGCCATTTTCACCTTGAAGATAAAATAAAGTCCGAAATTTTTTTTTTCCATGATAAAGTATATTACATTAGCTTTAATTTAAGATATATATAAAAGTGTCAGACTTTCCGGAACACTTTCAAAATTTAAGTTGAAAAAGTCAATTTTTTGTGAAAAAGTTGTCATTTTGAATCCCCCCCTGTAGGCAGGTAAAAAGTCAGATTTATAAAAAAAATATACCAAATGATAGGTAAAGACATCATGCATCTACAAAAAAAAGAATTATATTGATCCATACATCTTTCGAGAAGTTATAGCATTATAAAGTTAAAAATATAAAAAAGAATTTTTTTACAAAAATCGTATTTTTTTTATTAAGTTTAATGTCTGTTTTCACCATGAAGATAAAATAAAGTCCGAAATTTTTTTTTACCATTATAAAGTATATTACATTAGCTTTAATTTAAGATATATATAAAAGTGTCAGACCTTCCGGAACACTTTCAAAAGTTACGTTGAAAAAGTTCTACTTTCTATATGCATTTTTATGTTTTGAATCCCCCCTGTATTTAGGGAAATGGTCCGATTTAAAAAAACAGTATGTCGAATGAAAGATCTATATAAATACTACTTCTCATAAAAAAATTGTAATGATTCATACATTTTTCAAAAAGTTATAGCATAATAAAGTTAAAAATGGAAAATACAAAATCGAAAATTTTCACACAAAAATAGCATTCGGTAGCCATTTTCACCATGAAGATAAGATAAAGTCCGAAATTTTTTTTTTTCATGATAAAGCATATTACATTAGCTTTAATTTAAGATATATATAAAAGTGTCAGACCTTCCGGAACATTTTCAAAATTTAAGTTAAAAAAATTAATTTTTTGTGAAAAAGTTGTCATTTTAAATCCCCCCTTGTGGGCAGGTTAAGGGTTAAATTTATGAAAAAAATATACCAAATGAAAGGTAATGATATTATGCATCTATATAAAAAAGAATTATATTGATATGTTTATTTTTGAAAAAGTTATGGCACTTTTAAGTAAAAAAAATTGAAAAAATTTCGAAAATTAGCGATTTTTAAATTTGTAATTTTTTTGGAGGTTTCCCCCATTTACGGGGAACGAGGGAATTTTTTTCAATTTTTAAGGGTAATGTCTTCGACTAGATACGATTTGTGATCTTTTGACGTATCATTGAAAGAAATCGGTTCGGTGAGAGCTGAGAAAAAGTGGTAACAGACAAAAAAAAAAAAACACATCTTAGTAAAACCAATACCTTCTCAGCTTCGCATCGAAGCTAAAAGTAGTGTTCAAAAATATTTTAACACAATTTTTAAATAAACTATTTTGTTTTTAATTATAAATTGACTATAAATTACTACAAAAATTAATTACATTTTTATAGTTATTATTGCTTGACAAATTATAAAACTAAAAATAAAATTAAGAATATAAATAAATATGTCATTTCATTAAATACTAAAAAGGCGTTACGTTGATAAGTTAATCTTATTAACATTTTCATAATATTAAGTGAATTGATAATAATTATCCATCAAATGAATTATAACCAATACTTCTGATGAATATTGCTATTTTTTTCTTTAATCTATATTGCTTTTAACTATATAGGCTTCATATGTACAATTTTAAATTAAAATCCATGACCTACTAAATACATAAAAGTATAACTTTCAGCATCAACTAATTATGATAAATATTGTTGGTTATTTAGATTTATTTTAAATATCATATTGTTATTTTTACATTGTTTTTTATTCAATTTAATTGATAAAGAAAAATATGCCAAATCTTTAAATTGTTGAGTTTTAATGTTGATATAAATAATAACGCAACGATAGCTATTTACTTCTTGATGTTGTTTAATAGCACTCATAAAATAGATTGAATAGAATTCTGAGTCGCGTGTATAAATTATCATGTAAATAAATAACTTGTTATTGGTAGATTTTACAATGTAACATTTGCTCAAATAACATTAATAACTAAAGTTAAATGATCATTAACAATAATTTAAAAACATACTACTTTAAGACCTTGAATATTTTTCCATATTATCGTAATATATGTAACATAAATAAAATCTACACAATATTTATTATGAACCTAATTATTTAATTATTACTTGATAATTCAGCAATTTCTTTAAATTCAATTACTCCGAGTACGTACAATTTTGCCCCAAATTAACAAAAAACAATCTGTCCTTAAGGTTCTAGAACTTCAAAAAAGTTTTAAATTGAGTTTTTAATTTATAGTATTTAAATAAATTTCCTATTAACAAAAACATTTGTATTATTGTTGGACATTTTACGCATAAATATTAATTCAATTAGTATATTTTTTTTAATAATTTTATATAATTGTCATTTTTATTTTGCAATATACTATTTAAAATTTTTTTATTAGCTTCGATGCGAAGTTGAGAAGGTATAAATTTTACTTTAATGTGTTGTTTATTATTATTGATTTTGAGACTTAATTTTGTTAATTTTATTTTGTAATAGTAATATTTATAAGAAAACATAATTGTTCTCTGATGATAACTGTAATTCAATTACAGTACAACACAAACGTTGGTTATACTTTAGCGACATTCAATTTTTATTAGATTTTATAGTATTGATTTTTGACACTCATTCATCGTACTAAATAAAATATATTTATGTGGATTTCTTAAATAAATAAACTATATTTTTATTTCTGAGATTTTTCCTATCTACAATTTTTTAATTACCTTTAAAATTAATCTATTTAGATAATTTACACAGTAATATAATTTAAGTTACTAATATATATATATATATATATATATATATATTTGAAAATTCACATACAATTATTAGGAACAATTATTTTTAATGTAGTTTTACTTCAAAATAATTTTTTTAACATGATTCAATTTTAAATAATTTCTAGTTAGTTTAATAATTTTACATAAAGCTAGTTAACCTTGGAACTAATTATCATTTCTGCAGAATGAAAAAACTGTAATTTATACATTAATATTGAGTATAGGTTCTTAATGATCGGACTAAAAAATAACGGAAAGTTTTTTCAAATTCCTATTTTCAAATGTTTCATTTTTTACACATTAAATATTTATTTATTAAAAATTTGAATAATTACAAAATAATAATGTATTTCTAAGTTAATCAAATCTATCAAATATTGTTAATTGCACTTGTAAAAACATTTTAAATTATTCTATAACATTATTTTATAGAAAAAAATTTTTTTGAATAGTAGACTGAAACATTATTAAATGAATTTTATCAAGACCTTTAACGATGTTTATAACAATTGAAATTTACGAATATTATATAAAAGAATAAATAGGCTAATTTTTACCCCTTCAAATTTCACTTAAAATATGTAATTTTTTTAAGCGTTAAGTAGGTTGAACCTATTTTTTGTCTATACAGTTTTGTATACTAAGTACTTCAATAATTAATAAGCATGAGAAACAATTTACATCAGGTAGGATTTTCATTAACAACTAATATATATATATTTTTGTTATTCGCAAACAAAATCTTAATAATTCACAATACATGCAATACACAGAACTCATATCGTTTATTGTATAATGTGCACTTATAGTAATACTTGCACTTATATGTAGGACGTTTTAGATAAGTTACATCATAGTCTTAATGCATACAACATCGCAACCACGTTTGATATTTTGAACTCAACATAGACATATGACATAAAAAAATAATAATTTTTATAAGATAATAATATAGATATTAAATTATAAAAGGTTTTTAGTGAGATGCTTAATCATTAATAAAAATATTTCTGTGTGACCGTGATTACAAGTATTACAAAACTATAATTACGATGTATGGATATGTATAGATAGCTTAAAATTTCTTGGTCATCAATAATTAATCTTGAAGATATATATATATATATTTAACATTTTGCTATAATTTCATTGTTGTATAGGTACCTTTATAATCTATAATGTATTTTTTAAATACATTACTTAAATTTAAACTAATTAGTAGTTTTTCAATAAAAGAGTCTTTTAAAAAAATACTATTTTAATTTATTGTAATAATATTTTCCACAAATCAATTGTTTAATAATGTGAAATTAATTAAGAACACAATACTAATACTATTATGTTAATTTAAATTTACAGGTCCTTTTGCAACAGGATGCATAGAATTAATGACCGAATATAGTGCAGAAGGATGTTTTGCCAGGATATTTTATCCGACTGACATATCGTCTAATAAGTTAAATGTTAGTAGAAAACAATATTTTCCTAGAAATTACCATAAAAAAGTAATATTTAATTGTTTATGCGTTATGAAAAAAAAGGGTACATATGTACATATAAGATTATCAAAATCTGGTAAGACAATAATTTTCTCAAAAACTATTGAAAATGCTTAATGTTTGTTAAGAGAAATAATATTTTGTTTAAAGAATTCTAGAATAATGTGGTTAAAAAATCATTTTTTTGTTCTTTTTGGGTTAAAAACCTTATATTTATTTTTCTTAAATATTAATCCTTATTATTAATTTAATAATATGATAGAATAAAAAATTACAAACAATTTTGTATCCATAATTTTCTTTATCCGATCAATCGTTTGGGTTTTATGATTGCTTAAAGATTTAAATTTCATGTAAAAATTTTTAATTGCTTTGGTTTTATTGTACCGGTAACAACAATAAACTATTTCGATTGTCCATAAAATATTTATTATAGTAATTATTAAGAAAGCCCTGTATATTATGTGAAAAATAAATTAGAATATGTACTTTTTGATAATTTCAGTTTGTGTCTTATTATTTAATAAAAAACTATTAATTATTGATGTATTTATATTTTAGTAATTAATAATGATACTCCTATAACAACATAAACACCAACATTAAATCATTTATAACTTTTACTTTGGATAGATATGTGTTTAGTTGTCATTTAGTTATTACACAATATTTTCAGAACATTATAATCACAAGTCGCGCATAAAATAAATATAATATTTTTCAAAGCACAATGTTTAATTTTGTTGTTTACAAAGACATTTGATTGTTACTTATACAGTTGACCCGAAAAGCACATATGTTCTCATTAATGAATTAATCTATGCATTTCGAAAATCAACAAACGCCATATTAAATTAATTTGTAAATTAAAGCAATATTTTTGAAAATAACATTAATTATTTCAGGAATATTCAGATAAATGGATTCCATGGATACCAGATGAAACGTATTTAAAAGGTTTTGCTGAATGCTTGCGCATCCCATTCTGTATATTTAAATATGGCCCAAGTATAATCAGACTAAGTAACTATACTTTTTTATTTAAAAATGACTAATATATTTTTTTACATTAATTGCAAATAATATGCTCAGATATTCTTATATAAATTAAATTTTTATTTAAGAATATAAGGATGACGTTTTATTCATCAAGGAAAATGTTATTTATCACGTATTAAGAAAATTTCTTTACACAGTGTTGTTATATCCACAATTTTATATGTCAACTTTAGCAATTTTTCAGAAAAGCAATAACAAATTTTACATTTTATACAGTTGACATTTTTAAAATGTAAAAAAAACCTTCTAGTTAAAATTTAATATTATTTTTTGCCACGTTTTTTGATAAATTTTCTCTATATCAAATATTTTAAATTACATATTCGTGACATATCATAGAAACCTATGTAAGCTATAAAGTTTTTTATTTTGAGTATAAGAAATATGTACCACATAAACATGTGCAAAAAAAATGTCATCATCATAGGTAATTATAACTCTGTAATTTTAAAACAATAAAATTTCTTGTATCTTAAAATTTTTATTTTACAGACATAATGTCCTAAAATCAGATTTCTATTATATTTATTTGTGATCGAAATATATTGAGACTATTATCCAAATAAAAGTAATGTGGTAATATAATATAGAAAATTATATTATAGTTAAATGGTTAGAAAAACAATAAATTTTCGTGCTATTTATATCCTAAAACAATTAGTAATAACAAATATATTCTATGTAACTTTGTCTGTTAGAAGATATCGATAGCATAAAATTTATTTGTCTTAATTATTTTGCATCGCAAAAGCAAATTCTGAAATTTGAACTTGTCAATATTTTTATCATTACACTATGAGAAATTTTATTTTTAAATGAAAAGTAAAACGTTTTTGATCTCGAAGACAAAAATAAATTTTAACAATACAGGGTGATTTTTTTATCATAACTCACTCAATTAATCTTAGAATAAAAATAATTTATTTATAATTTTAGTTATATATTATTCTTGAGTTATTAGCTGTTATGTAATTTTTTTTAAGTTTAAGCTTTATGTCTTTTAAGAGTGATAAATGTGTTTTTATCTAATTGGAACACATATTTTAAATTTAATGAAATGTTTAAGGTTTTTTTTTTATAGTAAGTGGTGTTTAAATTTTTAACATTGCTATCCATTTTTAAAGTTTAGAATTTCCGATATAAAATATACGAATGATATCAGGTAGCTAATTGCTTATTTAACGTCGCTATTCACAGACACACAGCGTTAATATCAATTAATGCTTTATAAACAGATATGCTTTCTGTATTACCAGTTGGTGTATTAATAAATGCAAATAACGGCATCCTAAAAAAACACTTAGCTATCTATATTTGTAATCCTTAGTGTATTATACGTTTATTTTAACTAAAAAATGATAAATCTAAGTGTTATATTTAATAATCAATAAAAAAATTGCAATTATGTTAAAAATCCAAATGCTATTTACTATTTAAATAAAACTAAAACATTTTACTAAATTTAAAATATGTGTTCCCATTTGAAAACTCTTACAAGGCAAAATGGATAATCTTAGATATTTATTAATTCAAGGACAATATGTAACTAAAAATTACCAAAAAAAATTCAATATGTTTTTTATTCTACATCTAATTGAATGAGTTATAATAAAAAATCCTCATATAAGTATTAGGAAAAATGAAATTATTTCCAATTAACTATTTTTAAACTTATTTGCAACCTATAGTATTTTTACAATGTAGTTTACAATGATTATACTGCAGTACACAAACACTATCCACATAACAGTTATTTAACGTTTAACTAATGTTTAATTTTATTTTAAAAATTAAATAAATGTTCAGTTTAATGAAATTATGATTAGTTTTAAATGGAATAACCATTGCATAAATCTCATTTGAACACAAAAAATATGTTGATTGAAAACTATTTGCAATAGGTATTACAAAAATATAATCTCATGCAAACTGTACATATCATTACTGAACACAAAAAACAGTTTTTTGAGTGCATGTTTCAAACATAATGTTATTATCTGAGTATTTTTATTCTACATACTATATCCACATATTAGTAGTTTATTATAATAATAATAGTACAGTTTTTAATAAAATTCTGCAAAAATGTTTTCTAAATATCCATAGGCTTACTTCAAGTTAAAGAGATTGGAAATATATTAGTATTTTAATCAGTAATGCGATATTTTAATGGAGAGAAGGTTTTTTTTAAAACTTATGAACTACGCTATTAAACTAAAAGTTATAGAATAACGTTAATAATTTATAAAGTAGGGTAACATTTTGAGTGTATATTAATAACCCAGTGAATAAAAACCCAAAATTTTTAACTAAAAAATTATGATATTTTATAATTTAAAAAGTTATAAATGTCAGTACTTAATTATGACAAAGAAAATATCTAGATTTAGTCCAACTCAAAAAATACAACATTTGATAATAATATTAATAATTTTTAATTACTAAATATTTTTGATTTTTGATTTTTATATTTAATCATGAATTTATATATTGGTCATTATGAGTATTTTTAAATTAATTGAAATAAAATTTTTATAGAACAAGTATACAGAGTGTCATTTAAGTTTTGACATATTTAATAACTTTTAATTCAGCGAATATTATGCTTTACATTTTTTTAAATAATTTTTAAAGTTTGGGCTTACATTATTACTACACATATTTTTTTATTATTTGTTTCTAATATGATAAAAATTTTATTTCTTGTTATATGTAATTTTAAAATAGCCATTTTTTTAGCTCTTTTCTTAAAAACAATTATAATGTGTTGATAATAATTTTAAGTTAATACTTAAAGTTTAATACTTTAATACGTAAAGTGATTATATTGTGCGATTATTAAAGATGTCAAAACCTAGTGAGGATACTCTGTGTATTAATTTTATGAAAATAATTTTAAAAATAGAAAATATTAAGAATATTATTAAATGGTGCTCATACCCTAAACTACGTTTAAGATAACAATTAATGAAATAATTAATATATTGTTTACCTTTATTTACCTGCTATTTAGATTAAAATATATTTTTATTGTATTTCATAAAAAACGTGCTCACATATTTGTTAGTATGAGTATTTTTGTCAAATAGTAAAAAAAAATTTACTAATCAATAGATTTTTTCTTTCTTAAGTTTGTTATTCATAGTAGACTTAAAGATCTACTTTATTTATTTTTCACAAAATATTTTTAATTCTATTTGAATGTAGCTGATGTACTAGAAATACAGTAAAACAAAGTGAATTATTTTTTCAGAACCATATTACATACCAACTATATTTGAAGCACAGCCGTCTAAAACATTAAAATCATTTCCAATATTTATATTTTCTCATGGATTTGGAGCAACTAGATTTGTTAATTCAGAATATTGTAATTCTTTAGCATCACATGGGTTCTTCGTTGTTGCTATAGAACATAGGTATTTTAAGCATTTCAAAATCCCATTGTACATAAAAATTAATTAACATTTTAGTAGTCTAATCTTTAGAATTTCATTTGAAAATTCTTGTAATAAACAATCATTAAAATAAAAAACATCATCTAATAGACTATTAAACTCAAGAAGGAATTATTTTTAATTACATTATATATAAAATTCTTCCTAGAATCTAATTATAAGTTATGAAACATTTTGAACTATGATTGGAAATAAAAATTTATATTTTAATCATATTATTTGATGATACAAAAATAATAAAAAAAATATCCACGAAAATCAAAATTTATTAAAAAAAATTTCTAATTTTAATGTCTACCTAATTTTTTTCACGATATATTTTAGCAAAATTTAAGGATCTTGTTCTTCTCTTATTAATACCTTTTGTTCAAAAATATAAATTTCCCCTAATTTTCTCATACAAGAGTTTTATATTATGATTAAAAATCACTGTCAAAATGTCTAACAACATAGTTTCAACTACGCCTAGTTTTCTTAAGCAAAGCTCCGACTGTATTATTTTTTTTTATTTCCAACATGAATTTATCCAAATATCTTTATAAAATTATATGTAAATTGTAGAGACACGTCTTCTCCTGCTACTTTTTACTATGATTCACCAGAAAGTGCAAAAAATGACAACCGTACATGGGTTAATCATGTTCAATTTCATAAGATAATTGGTCCTGATCACTACTATCAACGAAATAAACAGGTAAACTTGACTAAATTAAAATTAGAGTTACAACAGTAAAGAAAAAAATAATTTTAAAAAGAAAAAGTTTAGTACATATTTGAGAAATAGAAAAAAATATTACTCTTATAATTCAGTTTAATAATGCTTCAATAAAATCTTGATAAAAATAGTGTTAATAGATTATATTGACGGTGTGTTAAGAAACTATTATATTAAATAATGCATAATTATTATGTTTTTAGCTCAAGTATAGATTCAAAGAAATGAAAAAGATCATCGATACTATATTTAAAATAAATAGTGGTGAAGTAGTCGATAATGTGTTCAATCCAAATTTCGATTTACTTCAATTTAAAGTAATAATGAAACTAATCCGAATTTCAACTATAGTATTTTATATTATAAGTATTTTAATTAAACTAAATTTTTTTCTTCAGAACAAACTGGATGTTGATAATATTGTTGGTTCTGGATTTTCATTTGGTGGAGCAACAGCTATGTATACAGCAGCAAATGACAAACGAATTAAGTGAGTCATTTCAATTGTTTATTATGTACCAATATTAAATTTATTTTATCATAATTTTAATGAATAAATATTTTAATTATTGAATAATAATTATACAGTACGATTCTCTTCGCACTAAAATAATAATTATCTCAAGAATTTTGTTTCGGGTATTTTTTTATTCCATATATTTCTCAATTTATCAGTTATTAACTGCATTTTTTAATTCATCCCTACGTAATAAGAATTTCAATTTTATTTTTTGAATGACCACACACATATTTAACTATCTTATAAATCAAAAAATAATCAAATTAGGAAAACGACTGGTCGATAACAACTTTTGGGAAATCACTTCGAAATTAACAAACATTTTTATAACATTATTGGTGGGAGAATTAGAACGCCCAAAAAATACCTAATGATAAATAATTTTATACGCACGCCTCACCTCTAATCTATATTTTTAAATGGTGATAACTTCGAAATAATTGGTCAAAAGTTATAACTACTAGTGATTTTCTTAATTAAATCATTTTTTATTTTTAAGGTAGTTAAATATGTATGTTGCCGTCTTTATTAGATATTAAAAATGAATTTAAAAAATAATTAATAACTGTTAAATCTATAAATGTATAGCACTCAAAGAAACAAAAAATAAAGTTTTTGTGATAATTATTTTAAGAGAAATCAAACGAATAACAACAAATGAATCACGTGTTATAATTTAGCATTATTTATGAATACATTTTTAATATTTATTAGATCATTGGTAATTGTTGATGGCTGGATGTTTTCTTTAAAGTCAGAACCAAATTTGAGTATTGAACAATCAATTCTATTTATTAATACTCACACCTTTCATTTAGAATCAAACATAGCGATTATTAAAAAATATATGGCTTCTAATTCATTTCGACAGTTATACACTTTAAAAAATACAACTCATGAGAGCCCTACAGATACTGCATATATATGGGGTCATTGGCTGGATTTATTTATGATAAAAAAAATGAATTCCGAGACAGCATTGAGATTACAAAGTAGTCTCACCTTAAGATATTTAAATGATCGCATGAGTTCGTATTGAAAATAAAAATTAAGCAATGAAATAAGCCTTTTAATTATACCCTTTTTATATTATAGATTATCCAGAAAATGTTGATGGTTTACAAATTTATATAAAAGAACATTCCGATAAAATCGTTAGTGATACTATAAAATACTCAAAACGAGTGAAGAGAAAAATGGGTATTTGGTTTTGGTAAACTGAATTATAATAAAATAAACTAGAAAACTATTTAAATTAATTTAAATTAATGTGATATATGTGATAAACAAATGAACTTTGTAAAATAAATAGAAAATTGTTTTTAATTGTTATATTAACATAAATTTTTCATTTTTATATCTCAACTACTATACATAGTTTATTTAACCTTAATAGTATTTTAGAATTCAATCTATTTAACCAATAAATTATTATTTTATGCTCCATCGAAAACTGCTAAAGGTATAAAAAAAAACGTGTTCATAAAGAATTAGAAAAACACGAATTAAGCTGACAGATGATTTCAGAACTACACACTTGAAAAATTTTATGATACTTAATAACAGGATAATTTTCGATAATTTATAGAAATTTTCAAAAAATTATCCTTCTTTCAAAATGTCTTGCTAACTATTTTGACTGATAATTAAAGCGATTCAAGGTATTTGAATTAATACCTTGTAGGATGTAAGAATGTGGAATAACAATATACATTGAGTGTTTTTATAATTTTTTAAAGTTTATTATATTAAGCTATTACATATTATAAGGATTTTTGACTTTGTAGAAGTAATAGAAGCTATTTACAATGTGAGCTTGAATACAACTTTCTCAGAAACAAGCACGTCTCAGGATAGTAATTAGGGGAGGAAGGTGTTTTTTAAATAGAAATATATTTACTCTTCACGCAAAATTATGAAGTATAACCTTTAATATAATGTAATTTTGAAAATGATCAAAGTAGTGAAGTCTAGTCCTAATAGACCCCCTGAATATTTTCTAGAAACTAATAAAATTACACTGTTTAGAAACTATATCAAGAGGCTGAGAAAAGTTTCTTTTAAAAAAATTCTACTCCCCATGGAAAATTTTAAATACTCTAATGTGTATACTATTACTGTGAATTTAACTAAATCAATATTGAAACTGACAGAAGAGTAGGATAATTGTTATTTGTTACCCACCTCTAGACATTTTATAATTATTTTTAAATAAAATTTCACTACTTATAAGTTGATGTTTAAAAAAAATTATATTTCAAAACATGAAAAGTATTTCATATATGGCATTAGGCGCGACTCCTTTTGGACCCAAAGTAGTCGCGCCGATCTCATAGATCAAATAAATTTTAAATTGGACGCGGCGATCTTATGCATCAAAAAATTCACTACGGACTCCTAAGGTAGATGGCCGATGATTAAAGTGCATTAAATACCTCTTCCTGGAGATTGCAGAATGTAAACTCATGTGGAGGGGAACTCATGGCTTTAGCAGTTTTCATATGTGAAGGCAAACTAACCTTTCGCGATCTCTCAAATCAGCCGCGACTAATGAAAAGGTACCACGAGAGCATGTTTTGGTAACACAAATAAACTTTTTTTTACCAGCAAACAAGACACAACTTTTAACAAAAGGTGACAGTAATTTTTGACTACGTGATACTTATATATATTTAATATGTTAAAATGAGCTCTGTCATATTTCAGTCAAATATAAATTTTCAAAAATTCAATAGGTTTTTTAATTGCGCTTCACATAAAATCTTTGGAGATTTAGATTAGTAAAAGTAGTATAATTTTTGAAAATTTTTAAATACCACAAATAGTTAATTTTTTTAACTCTAACTACTTGTGTTATAACATAAAAGTGTAATGAATTAAAACTGTTAAACAATTTAACTTTGTGTAATTTTACTTATGTGTGATACATAATTAAATAAACTTCTATAATAATCAAAACATTAATAAATCCTTACAAGTTCTATATAATAATAGATCACCCTATGTACAACAAAATAATACTTTATAAAAATACACTTTTATGTATAAAACAAATATGATACATTTTAAACTGAATATTTACGATTTTACATATTTTAATGATTAGACTCACATAAATTAAATTTACATTTAAATAAATAGAATATTACAATTTATAAGGATGAATAAACATTTTTTCGTCATTTGTTTCTTATAATTGAAAAAAAGTGAAAGACAAGTATTCAACGATGTTGTTTAAATATTTTGAAGTATTTGTTTTATTACAATTCATCGTATTACTAAAAGAAACATTTTCCTGTGGTCAAAAATCTAAAAAACCTCAATTAAATAGGGTAAGAAGTATTTATATTTTTTTAGATTTTAATCATTGTTAAAACTGTATAATATCATTAGTATTTAATAACATTGTAATAGTAATTATCTGAATATTTATATCTTGTTTTGTTTATATAATCTAGAAATTAAGCTCTACAATATTGCTATATAATTAACGTGTTTTCACTTAGTTATATTTATATTATCTCTATGTCAAATAAAATATCATATATTAGTATCATCTTTTTAACTCAGGAATATAAATATACATATGTATATGTACATATGGATAATATTTCAAATTTTATTTTATTTCCTAAAAAATATACTCATTTATACTCTATATTAAAATTCAAACTTACAGAAGGAGAATATCGAAGCTATTATTAGAATAAATAAATAAATCAGAAATTTCAGGATCTGCACTACCATATTTTATGAATTGTGTACAACATTTTTTTTACTAGTACAGTCAGGGTAATGTTTCATTTACTATTTTTAAATTTGCTGATAGAATACAATAATAATCGTAATTTAATTATTTTTAATTCAAATAGAAATAAAATTTCATTAATTTAATTCATTTAATATTGAACTCAAATAACACGTTGGATTTTATTTAAAATATTTTATTATGTACATATATTAAATATATTTTACAGCATTTCTATATTAAAATTAGCTAAAATATCTGTATAATCTCAGTACTTGATAAATTTAGAAACTTATATTGAACTCTTGTACATCAAAAGTTGTTACGTTATAAACACTGCTTGTTTTAAACGTGTTTAAAACACCAAACATTTCAAAATTTATATTGATCTCTTGAGTCGTTTTAAAATGTTCATTTATGCTTTAAACAGACTTTGAAAAAAAAAACATATTTTTTTAAAAGCTGTGAATCACACTGTATCATAAAATATTTTTTGTCAAAATTTTCGGTTATAATTATCAATGTATGTTAGTTATTTTGAAACAAATATATTATTGCCATATTACTTGTGGAACTAATTTAATAAGAATATTTGATTTTTGAAATTTGGTTATATCATTTACTTTACAATTTATCTCAACAGGAATTGAATAAAACATTTAGTCCGTCGTTAAAAAAGGTAAGTTTTACAAATTATAACATTATTGACGTTATTAAAAATTTAATATATAGACTGGGGGTGACATACGAGTTATTTCTATCATCACTCAACACAACCGCACTGTTTCTCCTACCAAGGTATACAATTTTCATAAATTCTGAAATACTGATTAAAAAGTTGTTATACACCAATCATTTTCATCGTATTCAATCCAATTTTTGTATTAATTAGAATACTATTCAATGATCGTAACCAAACATTGAATCGTATTCTAGTCTATATTAAGTCTAATTAAATATGTACATAACTATTAAAATAAAGTTGGTAGCCCTAATAAAACATAAGGAATAGACCTACAAAATATTTAACCACTTTTAGATCGATAAATAAATACAATTCAACACAGTTTTTGAAGTGAAACTTCTTTACAGAAGGTCCAAAAAAAAAAAATATCATCGAGCATCATGATCGGTTGTAAAGTATATCTTATATTATAACATAGCACTGTATTTTCGAAAATTACAATAATTTTATTCAAAATGTATTAAATAATTTAATTTCAAATAATTTTTAAAGAACCACAATAAATGCAATTTTCACGCGATATCTTCATAACAAAAGAAGTTTCAATTCATCCGCGCATACTGGTAACAGGCACTGGTTTTATTTCAACATTATTAACTCGAGTGTACCAACAAGATTTAACTTATTAATTTTTTTATTGGTGGTTGATGTCTGGTCTCTGATGCAAGCCGGCCTTAATACCCGTCTCGTCCATTATTGGCCAAGTCAAGAACCATCTTTGACTAGCTAAAATGTGAAAGAAGGCAACCACTTTCTGTAGTATGTTAAGTTCGGTAAATAGAAGAATGTAAAACTTAACATTTTATAGTGTTACACGTTTAATATATCGTTTAAAACAAAATATTTAAAACATTTGGCAACTCTGATTGTGAAACAATGGAAAACACTGTGTGATTATTGTTTTTATATCAACATTATGAATAAATTATAGTTTTTAGCACGTAAGTTTTATTCGTATTTAATACATAATTATATATTAATTATTTTTTTAGCTCGCTAGAAAATTAAGTTTTAAATCAAATAGGGTTATTGATGCAGTAGTGAATTACCCATCACAATTGTGTCATCAATCAATTCGAACAAGTGATTTTAATTTCGTAGAACTCAAAAATGAACATTTCTTTCAACCAATTGATATAGAATATTGTCAGTATAAATTCAAGCATTTTGAAAATATAAAATTCGAGGAACAAGAAATTAAAAATTATTATGAACCACGTAATCTGTTAGAAAAATTGACAATACCCAAAAAAGTTGATATGGATGAAAAGTATAAAGGAACTACATTTAAAACTGTGTCCTTAATACTAACTAATACAGATGAAAATCATTTAGCTATACAGAAAATTGTTTATGAGGTAAAATTTTGTTCTTCAAGTAAGACAGTAAAATATTGAAACAAAAATTTAAGTATACATACATTTTTCAGGAATTTCTGAAAAGTACAGTTGTTAATAACCTTATGAATAGTGAAAATGCAAAAAAAAAATATCTAGAACAGAAAATGTTAGAAAATAATGGTATGTTAAACAAAGTTTAGGTTGAATTATCGATGATTGAGGTAATGTTTTTTTAAACTCGCACAACTCAAATTTTATCGAACCGTTATTCATATAATGTGTTGCTAAAGATTTCTTTTTTTTTACTGATTACTTTGTTAATAGTGAAGTTTAGATCATCATATCAGAATATATACCAAAGTAGGCAAATTTTTATCACCCTTTAGATAGATTATTAAATAAGCCTCTAAGTTAAATTTATTTACTTATATTGTTGAGGTAAAATTGTTAGGTTAATAATTAAAATAATATCGAGAAGCGTTATGGTCAAAACTCATTTTTCATGAACCGTACAATATATTTTTTTATGATATTATATAATGTTTTCAGAAATTTATCTACGATAACGTTTTTGTAAATCACTTTAAAACAGTCACTATCTTCACTAAACAATAGAAGATTAATTTTAGGTTTAGAATAGAATTTTAGTGATGGCTTCTATATTGTATACAATTTATTTTATCTACGAATTTTTTGGGAGTAAATAATCGAAAATATTCACTAATTATCAAGTAGCTAACGAAGATGTTGATGAAAATGACATTTCAAAGAATTTGGTATTCAATAAATATACATAAGAATCATTATACAACTTATATAGCAGAGTAATACATATAGAATAAGGTCTAAATTAAAATTTAGATACTTGACTTTAATGTTATAGATATTTGTAACAATTTTAATCGGATGTTTCAGGTGTTTTGATAGGAAAGTTAGAGTGGTTTGTAGTAGCACAAGCTTTTGACATTTGTATTTATATCTATGACGAATCTGAGTTCTATTGGATTTTATTCGATAAGAATTGGCCAAATTATGAACATCAAGATATGAAATCGAAAAAATGTATTTATTTATTCGAAGCACATTATACAAGTGATTTTTATCCTGTTGTAGATATTTATTAGTTTAAAAATTATATCCTTTTTTTTTATTTAACGAATTAATATTTCTATTCGTCATGCATACACAAATATATAAATTAATATTAATTTTTTTTTTTGTTTTATTTCGGTTTTGATGTAAGATAACGTTTGATTTTTTTGAAAATCTGTATATAGTGTTTAATACGTAAAAAAAATTATAAAACTATTCCAAAAGTGAAATTTTTTTTTGATATACATATTGAATTAACATTAAAAGTTGCACAAATAATCTACAAAATATTTATAACTAATTCTTAGGTCATTATTATAATTTTTTGTATAAAGGAAGTTAAATGGAATGTTTAACCTTTCCTATAGGAATATACCGATTGATCTAAAATATATTGTTATATTAAAAATTCAAATGCTATTTACTATTAAAATAAAAACTCAAATATTTTATTAAACTCAGAATATATTTTACCGTTAGAAAAATAAAGTTCACATCCTTACAAGGTATAAGGGATGAACTTAAACTTTTATCCCTTTCATAATAAATAATTCAAGAGTAATATTTAATTAAAACTAATCGAGAAAAAGTTTATATTATTTTTATTCTGTAAGTAATTAAGTGAATTATGATAAAAAAAACCCAGCACAGGGGGTCGTATCACAGTGATGATGTGGCATAGTTGGAACAAGTATAATGATATCTGACAGTGATTAAAATCACTATCAAAAAACGCTTCAATGCAAATCTTTAGATAGTGTTTAATTTAAAAAAATTGATGGTTTATTCCAAAAGCTACATGATTTGCTATTTACTTATTAATATCCCGATTAAGATAAAGTATGTCGAATGAAAAAGGGATATAAATATTATTTCTCATAATAATGTTGTGTTAATCCATGCATAATGTTATGTTAAAATTCTTGGTTTTGTATTTTATTTTATTATAAAGGGATTACACTGATTTTCATAAATATTATATCAATCTAAATGACATAGTATAAAANAGATTATTAGAAAATAGTATTTCCCATAAAAAATATAATGTAATGTAAGGAAATTATTAAATTCTTGAGGGATAAATACTTAGAATTATTCACAATATTTTTTGAAAATACAGTCCGATTACCACAAGATGTGTTTACAAAAGCAGTTCATGGGTTTCCTAAACTTCACGAAAACAATGTCACCTCATACGAATTTGAAACTATACCAAATCAACTAGATGATATAAAGAAAAAATGGAAAATCATTTTTGGGTTAATTACCAGAGAATACAGTTCATTTTTGTCAAAAGATTATATAGAGATTTTAAAAGATTCTTACCCGACTGTTTCGAGAAATTAAAAAGTACTTTTTATTTTTCCTAATGACATAGAAAGATACTGAGATTCTTTCATCATGTACAACTTATGTAAACGACACATAAAATAAATATGTAATAAAAATAAATTAAATAATAATATTTCTTCTTTTAGTTATGTATTAACCTATGAAGTAATTTTATATTTGTCCTTTTTACCTAATAGAAGTCTTAACCAAGCATCCAACCTAAGGAACAGACATAATAAGGTATCTCCTTTATTATATGAAGATCTAATTATGCACTTAAAAAAAATCGTTTTTTCAAATTATAATTGCTTTTAATTTTCAATATGTTAAAAAACTTTGTGCAAAATGTCATTTTAAACCTATTTTTTCGATTCTTTAAAGTTAATTTTTACGAAAGCCTATAATAAAAAAAGNTTGAATTTTTTTGTTTCTTTGAAATCGAGAAAAATAACTTTAAAATTTGAACTAGCTCAATTTCCATTTTTATTAAGTAAACTAGTGGCGTGCAAGGGCACGTAAACTTCGAGCACAAGGGTGCAACAAACAAATAAAAGAATAACGGCGTACAATGGCCGAACAATTTACTATTCAAGCGAAGGCGCTTGCAACAGGAAAAAAGTGACACTTAAAACAATCGACTGACAGACTTATGACAATGAACTGTACATGGATGAAAACCGACCCGGAGGTCATCGATTTGCTGTGATGGGTGGGCAAGGGGATGAGTAAAGCAAGATGCTGGTGATCAGCTGTCCCACGAAATAATATAATCAATGATCTTTATAACAACTGGTCAACTAGATCCTTCTAGAGGCGTTCTGTACCATACATTATTAAAAATATTTATATTAAATAATTTTTCATACAATAATTAATCATAATAGTATAGTTTTATACATTTATGTGCAAAAATAAATAGCAATTATACTCACACATTATACAAAGTAAAAGCAAAAATAATATATTTTTGTCATCGATAATATGAAAAATATGTTAATATATTATAGTTTAAATAATTTTCGTTTATTNAGGTCAACTTCTTATTATAACTTTTTTTTAACCTTACTTGCCAGCTTGACCTTGACATCATAATTTATTCCATTAATTCTTCCTCTTCTTCTTGGGTTTTCCGCCCATAAAGACCATCCCATCACACGCCCAATCCTGCAGCCTTCCCTATCCGCCGCTCTTATTTTTCAATCCTATCCTCCGTTCAGTGTTTCCACGTCATTTCTTATCACATTTTCCTACCTCAATCGTGGTCTTCCCAGTAGTCTCTTATCAACTGAGTCCGCGTCCATGATCATTCTTATAAGGTTGTTTTGGCTTCGCATAGCATGCCCCGCCCATTGAAGTCTTCGGTTTCCGAATGGTTTTTTGGCTCTACTAAACTCATATCTATCAATTTTCAAGCTAGGAAAAGCGACCGCACTTTCTCATCTACCTATAACCATGTATTCTGTTTTTTCCTCGTTTACTTGTAATCCCAGTTTCTTTGCCTTTTCCTCCAAACGAGTGAATAGAAAACTAAAAATTATTGTGTGATTTGCTCATTACTACCACATCATTTGCGTATTCCAAAATTTCTATAGACAATTCTTGTAACTTAACATCTTCTTGTGGTTGAATATATATTTCCCTTACTAATTTCTCTAAAATTAAGTTAAATAGAATCGGCGATATCAAGTCTCCCTATTTTCAGGGTTTATTCAGATTTTATTAGTATTGGCTCTGTTTTGCACTTACTACCTTGATTTTAACGAATTTTTCTATGATGGTTATCCCAATTAGTCTTATTAATTTTTGTGGTAAATTAAATTTTTTCAGGTAATTTATTATGCTAGTTCTTAGTATATACTATCATACGCTTTTTTGAAGCAGATAAAAAGAACATGTATCTCTTTGTCAAACTCCCATGTTTTTTGGAACAGCTGTCTAAGGATAAATAACTGATATACTGTCGTCCTACTTGGTCTCAATCCTCCCTGATAATCANATACTGTCGTCCTACTTGGTCTCAATCCTCCCTGATAATCACCTATAGTTTCTTCTGCTTTACTCTTTGATCTTGATGATGTGCAGTTCGAAAAGACTTTTAATCCGTTAATTAGCTAATATAATTTGTATAAAAACTACCTCATTTTAAAATATAAAATATAAAAATTATAAATTTTATTTTTGCTGTCACTATTTTTTCTCAGCTCTTTCTTTGACAGGGGTATTTCGAGTGTCAACAAAAGTTTATTTCTTAACTATAATATAGGTAACACAAATACGCACAAAATGTCTAAAGTATTACTACAATGGCACTGGCCGAGAGCAAAAGAAAACATGAGAAATTTTAAATAAACCAATATATATATAT